TTTCTATTCAAGCTACAAAGTTTCAAGACATGCATAATAATCTGAATACAACCTTTCAAGAAATTATTTCTAATTTAGTATGCAAATCTTAGAAATAAAAGATAAAGTTATTAAAACTACTAATGATCAAAAAAATATATTACACATTTTTGAAGACATTAGAATTAAAAACTCTCACGAGCCTTTTTCAAAAATTATTAATCAAAAAAAACCTACTAAAAATTCATTCCAATATTCTGTATTACATTCTACTTTATAAAATTTGATTCATCACAAGATAATCAGTCATCTTTATTCTAAAAATATTGATGAAGCTGCCTTCAAGTTTAATTTAGAGAAACCACCAGATAATTATTATAATCAAGATATATTAAATAATTATATAAAATTTTACCAAGAAGATTATCTTAAAAGAAGTAAAAAGTTACATATATATAGACAACTCCTATATATATATATGTATATTAAATAATATTTTTAAAATAAATATATAATAGAACAAAGGGAATTGTGAAATGAAGATATTATAAGAGATATAATTATTGGATATGCCAAATATCTTCACAAATGACATATGTCTTCAAAAAAGAAAATTAAAAGTAATAAAGTGTTTAATAGAAGAAAGCACAAAAAATTCAGGTATATATATATATATTTCTTATATTATTTTTAATTTTTGTATGTATAACTTTATAGATAATCAGAATATAAAAGATAAATAGCTATATATATTCCATTACATACAAGCAAGTTTTATTTTTAATATTACTATGTAATAATTATAATTTTTATTAGATAACTTTGTATATATGTATTAGTATGTATATTGTAATTATATTTATTCTGTATAAAATATTTTTTTTTTATTAATTATTTGAATATATTTTAACTAGTACATATGCAAATATTTGTTTCACTATTATCGAAATGTTGTTAATTATAAGCAACTTTATAAATCAAAACTAAAAATCAATATCTAAAAGAAAACCTTTATTTAAAATAAAATATCACAAAGAATTTTAATTCTATTTTAAATCTGGACGTAACAGTATATTGGTTTGGTTATAATGTAATTAATATAATTTGTATTAATTATATTTATTTTTTTTTTAAAAAACAAAGAAAAGACATGAATGTGTATTGCTTATGGATCATGATGAATTAGGCAAAACTTTATCCAATATTGATAAGATAATAAAATCTGAATATACAAGTCCAGAAATTAGTGATGAAGAAAATAATATTGACATATTTTACATTGTTCAAATTCCTTAGAGGAATCAAAGAGTAAGCTTATAATTTAAATATAAAATTTTATTATATATATATAATGTTTAATTAATAATAAAAA